TCCAGTACGCGGGCCTCTCACTGTTGTGGCCTCTCCCGTTGCGGAGCACAGGCTCCGGACGCGCAGGCTCAGCGGCCATGGCTCACAGGCCCAGCCGCTCTGCTGCATGTGGGATCTTCCCGGACCGGGGCACGAACCCATGTCCCCTGCATCGGCAGGCGGACTCTCAACCACTGCGCCACCAGGGAAGCCCAAGACTGCAATTTTAACAAGCTTTCAAAGTGCTTCCGGTATAGGAGGTCCCTTGACGACTCTTTGGAATGCAAGTTACCTAGCAGTCGAGCCATTCTAGTAGTTCTTAAAAGATGTGTGCGTGTGCTGTGTGGGGTTTGCTTGGTTTTCTTCTTACCCCCTTTTTACCCTTTAAGAATTTTATTTTAAGGTCTGTGTCACAGTAGGAATATTAGATACTGCGAGTAAACAAACATTAAGATCGCCTGAAATTATACTACTTTGAGGATGCTTTAAACATTTCAGTATATATCTTTATGGACTCTTTCTTTTGCATAAATGTATATGTGACTGTATGCCACCCCCATGGAATCGTACTGTTAGGTTTGAACAAAACCTTTTTTTAACTTATCATGAACATCTTTTCATTACTGGTAATTGTACATTTACATCATTATTTTTAATAGATGCCCTTATAAGTTATTCAATCTATTGTTGGACTTCTACATTTTTCTCTGATATTTCACTGTTATAACCATGGTTGTGATCAATATCCTTGCATATATATATTGAAAATTATGTAAATTTTAATTTAATATCTGCATTGTGATTTCAGTAACACTCATCTTTTTCTGGAGTGGGGGCCACAAAATGTAAAATATTTACTATCTGGTCCTTTGTTGTTGTTATTGTCATTTGCTTTTTTTCTTCCAGTTTTATTGAGATATAATTGACATACAACACTGTGTAAGTTTAAGGTGTACAGCATAATGATTTGACTTAAATACATCATGAAATGATTATCACAGTAAGTTTAGTGAACATCGTCTCAAATAGATACAAAAGTAAATAGAAAAAATATTTTTTCCTTGTGATGACAGCCCTTAGGATTTACTCCCTTAACAATTTTCATAGATAACATACAGTGGTAGTGTTATCTTTAGCATGTTGTACATTACATCTCTAGTACTTATTTATCTTATAAATCTTTTGACTGCAGTAACACTCATCTTTTAGTGATACTCTGTTTGTAAATGAGGGAGATAATTTCCATTCACTTGGTAGTAGGACACATAGTGAAGATATGTCATATATTTTGCAAATTGTGTACTCTAGCTATGCTAAAGAATGTTTAGGTAAAACTTGAAAATATTTTAGTGGTAGGAACTGCCTAGGGGAATACCTTCTATTATTCACCTGTGGAAAGGTTGAAAGATCCCATAAGGTCTTACTACTCCAAGTGTAGTCTGTGGACCAGCAGCATGGACATCACCTGGGAACTTGGAGCCTCAGGTTCCTAGGCCTCATCCCAGACTGTTGAATCAGAGTCTACCTCTTAGTAACATCTGCAGGTGATTTGTATGCACAGTAGAGCTTGAAAAGCACTGAAATAAGGGACTAATTCCAAGAGCTAGCTGAATCAGAGGAGGAATTCCATTAATACACCAACATGAGCTTTATATTATATCATTTATACTGATTCCTGGCATCCACTCCAGACTTTCTAAATTAGAATCTTCAGGAGGTGAGGCCCAGGAACTTACTTTTTTAAAGAAATTAATTAATTTTGGCTGTGCTGGGTCTTCGTTGCTGCGTGTGGGCTCTAGTTGCGGTGAGCAGGGGGGCTACTCTTCCTTGTGGTGTGCGGGCTTCTCACTGCAGTGGCTTCTCTTGTTGCAGAGCACGGGCTCTAGGTGTGTGGGCTTCAGGAGCTGTGGCTCGTGGGCTCTAGAGCGCAGGCTCAGTAGTTGTGGCACACGGGCTTAGTTGCTCCGTGACATGTGGGGTCTTCCCGTACCAGGGCTTAAACCCGTGTCCCCTGCATTGGCAAGTGGATTCTTAACCACTGTGCCACCAGGGAAGCCCCAGGAACTTACTTTTATTATTTATTTATTTATATTTTTTATGAAGCTTTATTTTATTATTATTATTTTTTGGTCACACTGTGCAGCTTGAGGGATCTTAGTTCCCCAACCAGGGATCGAACCTGTGGCCCCTGCAGTGGAAGCTCAGAGTCCTAACCACTGGACCGCCAGAGAATTCCCCACAGGAACTTACTTTTAAAAGTTCTCCAGGTAATTGGATATATAGCCAGATTTGGGGATCTCTCATGTGGAGCAAATGTTGTAACTTTTAATTTACAAAAATAAAGTACATTTTAATTTATACAAAGAACAACAATTGCAGTCTTCTATTCTGAAAGGAATGTCAGAATTAGTGGACTTAGTTGATACAATTTTTGGATCTCATGTCACTTTCTGCATATTTGGAATTAGGAAAAACTAACTTATTTAGAATCCCAGAAGGATAAGGGCATCATCTTTTAATTACTTTCCTGTGAGTAGTATGCAGTTTGTAATGTACAATTTCTCATATTTTTTCTGTAAAGTCTTACTCTTTATTATATAATTAAATAATTTTGTTGAAAAACATCCCAGTGAGCAGTTTAAATGTTTAAATTATTCTTGATTCTTTCCCAACCTTTGTTTATATATATATGTGTGTGTGTATAATATATAAAATTGGTGTGTCTATACTTTTGTTATCAATTTGACATATATTTTCTATTTATTAACATCATTAAAATATGTAAACTATATTTTATTGCGTACACACCACCTCTTAATCTTCTGCCCTGAAATTTGGCAGTTCTTTTCTTTCTTAAAATTTTATTTTTGCATGTTTGATTTGAAATTCACAGCTCAAAAAAAGGTTTTTATACCTTTTTCTCTTGATGGCATTTCCGCCTATTGTAGATATTTGAGCCTTGTGTAACAATTCTTAAAATCCTCATATCCATTTATTTAGAATACATGGACTTTAGGGCAGTGCAAAGAACAAGGAGAGACAGATTTTACTGCTGATATTTGACTTTGAGGATGTTGAAAACAAACAAATCCTTTGAAGATGTGGGTCAGATTTAGGATTTGGCCATAAACATTTGCATTTCAACAGTTTGTCATATTTTATGGTTTCTATAATTTGATTTTTACTGCATTATTGGGAAGAACCTGTTGTTCTTTGTAAAGAATTGTAAATTACTTGGTAAATTGGTAATTTATTGTGAGCGAGGGCTGTCAGTCATACGTTTTATTTAGAAGACTTTTAGTTCATGATGTTGAAAGACCTGGTCACATGTCACTAAAAGACCTGTTTAGTAACTTTTAGAACGAGTCAGTCACAAGAGTTTGTAATACTTTTCTCCTACACTAACAACATGAAAATCAACAACACCTTGCTTTTACATACGGAAACACAACCAGTTTTTGCTTTACTTCCGCTAGCATGCTTGTCATTTGTTTTCTTGATGGAACTGAGTTTTCATATAACGCTATTTTCCAATTGAAGGAACATCATAGATATGTAAAATTTTTTGTTATTTGACTGTTTCTAAAATGTATTTGAGTGTGCTTGTAATAAGCTTCACTGTGGGGTCAATTCTGTGATTGTGTGTTTTTCAAGGTAATTAAACAGGACTTCTTTAAG